TCATACACAAACTTTCAAAGCATTTTTTAAATAAAACTTTAAGAGCTGTAGAAAAACATATTCTTGTCTTATCAGAAGTGACCTCGCAGTGCAGAGAGTTAAATAGATTAAAAATCAACAGACTAAACTCTTCCTGAATGAAAATTTGACCCGTGAGTCTCTTCGCGCACCGATACCGTGAGTTGACGCGTTAAATTTCTCGTTTCAGACGTGGTTACCATCCCTGGAGGAACTGAACGCCTCGCACAACCGCCTGGTGACGTTATCGGAGAGGGACTTCCGTGGTTTTCCGGTTCTCTGTTGGGCAGACGTTAGCGCGAATCGAATACGCACCCTCATGCCAGAGCTGGTCGTGAACACGCGTTGTACCGTTCACGGAGTCCAGGATGTGCTGCGTATATATCTTCAAGGTAAGCGAAACACGTCAGAGATCATACTGATAAGACAAGTTCGCGATGGGTGTAATCGATGGTGGATTGGGAAGAACTGAACGATGGTGGGGGGCATTGAGCAGAAAGAATTGCGTCAATGTACTCTCTGACTTTGTTAGATTTTTCAGCAAATTATGGAAAGAAAGATGAGCATAGAAGGTGAAAGTTTGAATTAATCGAGCTAACGGAAATTAAATAAAATTGGAAGAAAATGAATGGTGACTATATTGATATGTTTGAAAAAAAAATTACATTGAATTAATTTAGTTTAAAATAATGTGGCATGTAATTCTTTTCAAGACTTGTTATATCTTGATGTAGCGAACAAATACACTGTTAAAACTCAGTTTTAAATTACACTGAAAAATTAAACACTTAGTTCAGTTCTATGGGGTCCATCAAACATTTTCCTTTACTCATAAGCTCCCCTAAAAGTTCACTTTTGTCCCCAAGGGCGACCATGGAAAGGTTTGAGAAACAAATAGAGACCGAAAACGTTGTTCATATGATATGTAGATGATAGTTCAATATTTACAAAAGAATAAAAGACTAGCTCGAAACGTCTGGAATTCAGCCAATAGATTCTTTGTTGTTAAATGAGGCGAGACTAAACCCCCTGCAATTCCTCCCCTTGTGTTCGTCGCTAGACACAACAATATTTGCGATTGATAACAGTTCCATGGAAAAATTCTAGAAATTCGCGCATCTGTCCTTTGTAACGAACTGCAAACATCGGTTGATAAGGGCCAGATGCCACCTCGGTGTTACGCAAAGGAAAAACACAGTAAACACAGGTGTATCCGATTGACGCACATGATCGCTGATTCGGCCACGACGAATGCAAACGCGTTAGTTTTCTTTCTTTTGTTTCCTAGAAGGAAGTACACGAGCAAATTGGTAATTTACGGTGACGATGATTTCGTTAAGCAAAGTTTCGCTTTGTTCCCATTGTTTCGGTCCATTGAACAACTGCACGTAGTACTTTTCTCATTAACTGACACTGAGCCTATCGACGTTTCCTTTACACCTGTTTCTACCTTCTTCTAAACATTTTTCTCAATGGATACAAATTTAATTTTTCGACGAGAATTCTTTTAACACTGTTCGATAAAAAAAAGAACCATTTACTAATATGCTACATTTTTTGTGAAAACTGTTTTAAATTATATGTGGAAGATTAAAATTTAAATGTACTCGAGGAGGGGGGGGGGGCAAAAATGTCCCTCTATCGAGGGGGGTCCGCGAGAAGATGACATTTGAGAAACACTGATTCAAGAGTTTCCTTTTTTTCAACCGATAAGATATAAAATAGAAGACTGCGATGGAATCGTGGATTCGTTAATTCGTATGCACGCTGTGTGCGTTCATCCGTCGCAAAGATTAAACAGTGACGATTGTAAAATGGTATGTTGCCGTGTGTCATGAACGAGACACGTGTTTGTCACATTTAGACCATATTTGGCGCAAGTATGACGTTACGTCGTGGTTAAATTTGATCAGATAGGCCCTGAAGAGGACCTGAAAATACTTGTGACCGAAGCGCCGTCAACGTCCGATTCAGTATTTTTGAGACTTCATTTTCCCACGCATCTCTTCGATAAAATTATCCTTTCCACCTCGACAAAAGTGACAAAAGGGACAAAAGTGAACTTTTAGGGGAGCTTTTGAGTAAAGGAAAATGTTTGATGGACCCCATAGAACTGAACTACTTGTTTAATTTTTCAGTGTAATTTAAAACCGAGTTTTAACAGTGTATTTGTTCGCTACATCATGATATAACAAGTCTTGAAAAGAATTACATGCCACGTTATTTTAAACTAAATTATTTTCTTATTTTCTTTCCGTCTTAATCTTTTATTCGCTGATACCGTACACGAAAATTTCTTTGTATCTTTCCACTTGATTTTAACACCCAGAAAAGTTCCAAAGACAATTGCGACAAATATAGGTGTATCCAGGAACTCACCCCGCTGCCCCGTCATTAGTCTTTCACGTGACAGCTCGTGGCTGGCGTCAAGCGTAATGCGCAAATGCACGTAATCGTCGTTCGTTTTCTAACAATGAACAAATCGATTGCGCGATACGAGACAACGTGATTTCGTCCGTCCACCCTCGCAAAAAGGATAACGACGCCGACCGTCGGACACAGACGCGCTGAATGGGCGCCAGCGCGTAATTAATAAACACGTCGTTAAGTGTCGCGAGGACGGGGCACGCGGAGGGAACGAGACAGAAAACGATGACGGGTCATGAGAGTGGCCGGTGCCAGCAGAAAATAAATTACTCGCTGATAATAACGTTGGCTCCGTTAGGCTCTGCGGACGAGCGTACACATTATTTTGTTATAAGAGTTACATTTCAACGGCGATAACCCCCGTCGTGGCGCCATCTCGTATTATTTATTGTATATCCCGAAGTCGAGCTCGTCTGTTGTTATTGTTACTGTATATGGTTTTTCGTGGCGTGGCCGCGTTATCGTGCCCGATCCCCGTTATCTTTAGTCGGGTTTCATTATTCCACGAGCTCGCGTCTCTCGTCGGACCACGAGCCCTAGCCCCGAACCTCGACCGATTCGCGAGTTTTGTGTTCCCCGTCGTTGTTATTGCAATCGGCGAAACCCGACGATTGTGTGTTTATGCGGCCCCAGGCGGACCTGCTACAAACAATCCCAGACAAAAACAAACGTCTCGCGACGCGCCGTTGGTCGCGCTCAGGGATGGGAGACGTCCAATTTTTCCGTATCCGAACGCGCAATGGTACGAGGAAGCATTTCCACGCACAGTATTTTTAACCCTTTGCACTCGAGAGGCGACTCAGAAGCGACAGTCTTAGATTTCGTTGAATCAAAGTACCTTCTTTCTTTAACACTTTGCTGATCGAGTTAATTCGTGTTTGCACTTGTATCAGTTTCCTTGGTTGCTTGCTGGTTTTTTTTTTAAGTGCGTAACTGTTACTTCAGTTATTGCACTGAATCCATCACAGTACAATTGTTTCCATTTTTCTTGACATTATCTTGCCTTACATAGTTCCTTAATTTTAGCTTAGTTTAGCTTAGCTTAGTTTTATCGTAACTCTATACATTACGTTTACGTTAGTCTTGTGTTTTGTACACGTCTGTTGGGACTCACCGGTCCCCATCTAGCTAGGGTACCTCGGGGTTGCTAAGCCCGTACCGTAGCTGCCATACTCGCATACTACAGCCCCTGAAGGCTTATATTAGTTTACACATCTTGCAAGCCTGGAAACATCATATTCGACAAAATGATTAAGTACATGTAGTTTGTTGAAGCTTATTTTAAATGTTTTCACACCGTATGTGGTCAACAAGGTGTTCAATTCTGAAAATATGAATACCAACTTCCTGGACTATTTAAATTGAACTTCTTCTCATTCCTGAATACTAGCTGTCGATGCTCCAACTTTTGGTGTTCTCTAAGTTCACTCCGTCATGGACCGCATTTCTTCTACTTGTAGCATTAGCTTCTACTTGTAATAAACACCGTCGCCTGAGAGTCGCCACTCGAGTGGTCGCGCAACACCCATCGGCGACTCGTAGTCGCCTATCCAGTGCAGAGGGGTTGTTAATCTCTGTGATCCGAGACTACGTGATGTCACGACACGATCGAGCGTGTCTTGTCACGGTCAGCCTCTTCTATCGGTCCTATCGTTATCTTCTCGTGCGTCAGGCAAGACCCAAAAACGAGAAAAAGAACAAAAAGAGAGAAGAGCAAAGAAAGAACATCACCCATTTGCGATCTTCCGATGTCTGTTGCTTGCAGATAATCCGGTGCTGTGCGATCCCGGACTGGCGGACCTGACCGTGGCTCTGGAGGTGAATCACGCGAAGGTCTACGGCGTCGCGAACGACTGTCCAACCACCGCCACGACGCCTACGGAGCAGACGTCGCCTCTTCCACCGTTGCCACCGACGCTCCTGTTGGCTGCAGCGGCCGCTGCATCCGGCGGAAACGTCTCCTTCGCGGCGACCCTCGAGTAGACGCCCTGGAAACCAGGCGGATCGCAAGCAAAGCCTATCGACCGAGCGAACGACGTTCGAAGAGGCCAGAGATGTGAATCGCGAGGCAATTTATTCGATTCATGGAGGGCTTTTCCTCCCTCTCTGTCCGCGAGAAACGGTGAGAACTCGTGGTGTTTAGCTGGTCGTCGAGGTGAACCGGAAGTGCATGGAACTGGGGCGGGTGTGGATCTTGGCGCGACACCTCGCTTCACGCGCGACACACGGGCGTTTTAGTTCGTTCGTTTGACCATCCCCCCGTGAATTCTGCGAGATGCAGTAATTTCTTGATTAAAATGCACCATTATTTTTATGTAACGCGATATTCTCAATCGTGATACGAAAACAGTCGTAATATCTGGCCTGTATCGGTTACCGGATCGTTTTTAACACTTTATTTACCGGGAGCCTATTTATAGGCTTTTTAATCCCAGTATTTATCGATGATTGTCTACTTACAATGTTTAGTGTTCGGAAACAGACTTGCCTTTCAATGTACCCAGTAACAGTATGGAGGAATTATTGTCAGCCTAGATTGGCTTATGCTACTGTAGAATATTCTTTTTTTAATTAAAGATTGTTTCTAAATAGCCCGGTAGATAAAGTGTTAAAAATAAACTGATCCTGTGGAATTCGTGGATTGATTCGGTATCAATACTAAAATCAACAAATTCATTTAGAATGTTTCAATAAACTACACTACGTATCAACTAAATATCAATATATTTGAATAGGTGGGAATATTTTTAAAATTTGACAGGAGAAACGACATTACTCGTGGGCAACTTAAGAGAGAAATTACTGTGTTCCGAAAAAATTGTATAATAGGGGACGACATGGTCGCTAGTCGAACTTCATCGAACGCCGACGAGACTTGTTCACGCGCGAGTAATCTGCCGATCGACAGCTAACAATTGTTCGACGATTAGAAGTCAGCCTTCGATCGGTAGTGGATAAACACGCGTGATCGCTAGTATATATTAAGTGACGAGAGATATATATATTTATTTTAACGTGCTTCCATCACATATCGTGAGAGTTTGTGGTTCCTTTGTATCACGGAAGAGACGGTACCCAATCAGGGATGGGCAGAATTTTATTTAAAAAATTAATACCTAATAAAAACCATCGTAGCGATTTAAACAAATTTGAATTTAAACTCGAACTTAATCGTATCGTCTTTAGTTTATTTTGCTGTTTTAACATAAATACTGTTGGGAGTTGAATGAGTTCTGTTTACGAAAAAAAAAAAGAAATAGATCAATTAGAAAAGATTAATACCCATTCGGCATTAAAATTCTCTATTAGAATTAGAATAATACGCGGCACTTTAAAGCAAGGTTTTCTTAGAAACCATTTGCGACTCTATTTCGTACGACACACTCCAAAATCATAATAATCCAAGGTATAAGTTTTTTATAAATAATTACTCGAAAGTTGGTTATCTTTTCTACGTTATGTTTAGATAAGAGTTTTGCCCATCTCTTTACCCAAAACTCGAGAGGATTTACGCCGGAAAGGAGATATCGTTTCACAGATCAAGAGAGAAAGACAGAGAGTGTAATAACAATGAGCGATTAATTCCCGTTTTATAAGTCTAGAAGAACAAACCGCTGAAGTCTCTGTCTTGTAATAGGTGACATTACCACGCTGTAAATAGTCATTAATCCCGCTACTTCTTGAACGCCATACGTCGTGTTTACGGTAGATAAGCATCCTCCTCGAATTCGAATTCCCATGTACCATTCATTTCCGCCTATTACTTTCTTTTCTTAATTATTATTAATATTATTGTTAACATTCGTCGAAACGATCATAAACGCGAACAAAACCACGTAAGAAATTTGGTAGTGAATCATCGTTAATCAGTCATCGTTAATCATCCATGCTTCAAAGTATTATCCATAACGCTTGCGCGACGTATCGTGTATCATGATCTTCGTGCACCGATTCGCATTAGTTTATTCGTTAATAGTATCGGATGATACCGACTGATTGTGAGATCTAGCGTGCGATGATAATGTGTAAGATATAATTAGGTAAAAATCTTTATTGGTAAATGCACAATGGTGTCTCGATTTGACGAATTAATATATCTATTAGTCTTGAGGAGGAAACATGATAAACGTTTCCAAGCACTTGTGGATTGGGTCTCTTTCGAATTACCCAAAGCAGAAAACAATTTGTAAGTGATAATAAGAGCAGAACGAGAAGTTATAAAACATATTTTATCGCACCTTGAATACCTGACCATAGAAGATTTACTATTTACATTGGCACAATAGTTTAAGATAGAAATGTATAAAACACAAAACCCCTATCTTCGTAAAACCTCGTTCTCCTCTAATTAATTTCGTAAATTTGTCATACGTGACAAGTATAGTTCTTCGATTGCTTTGGAAAGTTCGAGACAAATTGATTCCTTACTATAATCGTGATTTTGACTCGTAAAAGCTGAGAATAAACGTATTAATTTCTCAAATCGCAACGAGCGTAAAACCATGTTTTCTCGAATTATATTTTTTTCTGTTTTGTTTTTGTTTAGAAAAATAAATTCTTGATTAAATAACGAGTCATTCGCTAGGTAATAATCGTATCAAAGCCGATCGACACCGACAACGTGAATACGGCTATCGCGTTTTACATCATAGTAAACCATCGATATTCTCATCGTCGACGCTTCGATCTTCAATTCTTGAATGATCGAGTAAATGAACGATCGGGCGGGTCAATAGCGTAAGTGAAATCTGTTAACTTACGTTGTGTACGCGATATGGGCTGATTGGCAGTGGGCGATCAATTGACCCCCTCGTTAACTTGTGCCAATAGGGATGAATTGTTATCAACGTGCTTCTATGCATACATAATCAATTGGCCCTTTCCATGTACGAGTAAGACGCGCGAATATTTCGTACGTAACTATGTTAATGTATGAATCAATATAACGCGAACTACAGATGAGAAAGATTTAGTTTCTTTTTTAGCCTTCGCGTGGTGGAGAAATTCCAGTGACACAACGCTTATTATTATTACCATTCGACATTTAATTATAGTTCCAAATAAAAAAAAAAATCGACAGAAAATTATACTTTCAAGATTTCTTCACGATATCATAGTTCCATTTTGTTTCTTTGTTGTTCAAAAGGTACGCGTTTGTATAAAACGTTGCTTGACCTTTCTCTTTCTTATAAAAATCGAATGAAGTTATATATAAATATATATTAGTTAAGTCTTTTAAATAGGTGAATTGTTAGCACTACAAAAAATAAAGAACGAATTACCGAGTATTAGATGATATTTATAGTACTTGTTTGGTAAATAAGTACATACGTATTTAAAGTTTAACAAAATTGAGAGTTCAGTGCAGGTTGAACGATTGTTTTTACTCCAAACGAAGTTTATTTTCGCATATTTATGAAACAGATATAATTACGAATATATCTCTGTAGGTGCCATATATATAAATAGAAATAAAATGGAGACCTGTTTGTAATTTTAGTACCTAAGTAATTTATCCACACTGTGATTAGCAGTTTACTGTTTCTAACATGATCTGTATGTAAGGAGGTAGTACATCAAGACACGCGACACTATATATGTAACAATACCAGAAGATTACTGTACTAATGATAAATATTATATTTTAATAAGATCATACCAATGTTAAGTCCGCGATGTTTAGCGTTACAAATTCTATATATGTAATGAGGCGTTTTAGATATTTTAGTTTTTATTAATAAAGGCTTTAATCTTATAACAATTAGTACATAACATTGTAAAATTATACATTTCCTTTTATATTATTAGGCATGGGTAAGTAACAAACATATTGAAGATGTTTCCTATTGTCATTTTATATTGAAGTAATATTTAACAAAAATATGTCTTAGATTACAAAGAAATGCAGTGACGTCTGAAATTTCTGAATTTTTATGCAAGTCGACGATGCCTTTCAAATCTTTTAAATCCTCTGTTTTAAGCTCCGGTTGAATTTCTTTCACTGAAAAAAAACAGGCATGTTAACCATAACTAACATATTAACTGCTATTAGGAGTAAATATTGCATACCTTTCCAGTGACCCTTCGAATTAAACAACTGAACAAAATATTTGTCTTCTGCATCTGCATCAGTTATAAAAAATGAAATTTGTATATGTTCGTATTCATCATTACTATTTATTAATTGTATGCGACAATCCAAGTATTGCTTATAAATGTAACAGGCACGTTTAATAGCATTCCAAGTTGCTATTTTATGCTTTCTCCTTTTTTCAGCCTCTGAAAGAAATATTTAAACATGTATAAGAAAAATCTGATATTTTAACGATTCCTTGCTAGACACATATTTAAACATTTTTAAATGTATACCTTCTTGTAAGTCGATCATTTCGATAGACAAACTATCTCTTTTTAATTTTTCATGCTCAACTTCCTCCTGCAATGTCTCTTGCAGTTTAACTGCATTTTGGATCTTTTTATCCAACTTCTTCTGCTCTAATTTTTCCTCATCAATTTTAGTCTTCAAAGTCTCGAGCTCATGTTGCAATTCTGATATTTTACTAGTCCTCGATGCTCTTTTTTCTCTAGACTCTACATTGAAAGTAAAACAAGTTAATGTTGTTTATTTTCTTTAAATTAATCACATATCACGGAAATGTACAAAACAAGTTTCAATAACAAAACAAATCTTAACCTTAAATTATTATTTCCACAATTTATTAACAGTACATAAAATATAATAATATGAGAATATTGTTAACTGAATCCTTAGAATTTTTCAAATACGATGTTTCATAAACATACCAATTTCATAAGCAATTGTTTCTTCCACTTTGGCGGCAATCTCTTCACGAAACTTAGAATAATACGATATTAACTTTTCTAACACGGTAAAATCTGTATTCTGAAGAACATGCGTAATGTCCCAATTAAGTTCTTCCATTGTCACCAAAACATTTTACGTCAACGAAACCATAATAAAACGTAACGGCTTCAACGTACGTTGTTTACGTATTACTGGTGACCATTCAGGCATTCAGGCAGTGTTGCCAACCAGGACAGAACGATTACCCCTGACGCAAATTAAAAAACTCCTAAATTTTATTTAAAATCCCCCAGAATGTTTTATTTATTTATTTATTACAGTTTCTCACAAATAAAGATATTTAATTTAAAATTTAATTGGGTTACGTGTTATTACATTTTATTACATTTTACTTATCCTTTCTTCCCTAATATAGTTATAAAATTTTTCTATAAAGAAGTTACGATTATTAAAATTTGAAATGTCTAATACGTTACAAACTAATATCAGGATAATTTTTATATAATTTTCTTAACTGTTGTTAAAATGAGACCTTCAATATTATTTTTAAGAGTTGAAACTATCATTTTACACACTACTGGGATTTAAAAATCTGATGTGGATTTTACGTGATTAGATACACCTTTTACGATGTATTATCATTTATTACTATGTAGCGTTTACGTTGGTTATTTTCCAAGCGAAAATATTAATGAGTTATTTGAATTAGATAACAGGTTGAATAATCTGTGGACTGCAATAATGAGCAAATATTATTTCATGAACGCTATTTGATCGCTTTTGATACTCCTCCCTATAATGTAACAAATTCGCGTTTTATTGACACAGCTGTTACACGTAATGTTCCAAGCAGATATATAAGTTGCGAAGAAATCCGAATCAAAGCACACACTCCTGAGTATTCGTCTTTTCCACTCGTTAACATCAAACACGAGCGAAAATGATCTTCAAGTACTTCCAAATTATCGCCATCCTTGGTGCTACTACTGTTTTGGTATGTTCAACTTTCATTATTCAATACTTAATACAAAATTTTAATGATATTTATTATCCTTTTTCGTAAAAATATATTTTACTTAATGTTTCAATTTTTCTTTATTAAGAGAAAAAATGACTAATGTCGTCTATAAGAACTGTATTAGAAAAAAAACTTCCAGTAGAAAATTAAAAACTGCTCACAAGCGAAGCCGGGATAGGTCGCTTGTGAAAAATAAATTGATTAATTGTACTACATTATACGAAAAAGACTCTTAAACTACTTGATAGTATCTACAAATGCTTCTAATGAACTTTAATTTAAAAAAAGATATTCAAATTTTCCGAGGGAATTTGTATCGCCATCTAGCGGAAACATGCTCGAGTTTGTCCTCGAATAGTTCCTGTTTTTACTGCTAAGTTACCGATTGACAGATTACCGACATTATGGTAACGTATAGACTAGGCTGGTAAAAGTAACTATACGAGGACAAACTTGGGCGTTCTCCCGATAGAGGCGCTAATGAAATTCATTTGAGTGAAAATACCGGGAAACCACAAGATAATTTAAAAGTTTAAAAAACAAGGCTATTACATAATACATAGAAATCTTATGCTCTCAAATAGATTTTTTAAAATATTGGTTTTAATGCATTTATTCAATACAGGCTTTACCAGTAGCTGACAATGGACCAATTCAAGTAAGTACAAACTTTAAATTCTTACACGTACACGAAATTAATTCTGAAATATTTAATAATGGTACAAACAATTGAGTGACAAGAAGTATAAAATTTTATTCGCAATTAAATGAAGATAGTAGTTCCATTTAAAACAAAACATTGATCTTCGTGACTTCTGCGTATTTCCTCTTGCAACAAATCAACTCGCATAAAAGTCTCGATTCGCTGGTCCGCTTGAAGGACAAAGAGTTAAAACAGATACAAACAAACAAAATTATTATCTAAATAAAAATGTCAAACAACGTATAAAATACGAACGACTTTTCATCCATTATTTATTCCACATAAATTACAATTCAAATCACAAAAGAAAATTATGTTTACCCTTGACCGGATACCAATTTATCTAAACAACTGTTCCACCGAATTAACGTAGCAAATAGATTATTATACGATGTCCTTACGGATTCAACTTACTGATTTCACCGGTTCACGTTATTTAACATTTATTTCATCGCTACCGCAAAGAACTTTATTGACACAGTTGTTACACGTAATGTTCCAAGCAGATATATAAGTTGCGAAGAAATCCGAATCAAAACACACATTCCTGAGTATTCGTCTTTTCTACTCGTTAACATCAAACACGAGGGAAAATGATCTTCAACTACTCTACAATCACAAATATAAACTAATTATCAACTCTGTTAGCTGTCCGGGAGCATTTCGGGTCCTGGATTTTCAGCTTCAAATAACGGCAGCTTCGACATCGGCGATGCCACCAAGGATGTTTCCAACGTTATGAAGGGTATGCAGGGTTTAGTAGACTCTGCCCAGCATATGGTGGAAAATAGGTTGTCAAACATCATGAATGAATCTTCGACGATCTTGCACGACGGTCTGGAAAGTGCCCAGAAACTTCGAGGCAACGCTGGCGATTTTCTCGCTAACGCGACTAATGTATTGGGACACGCTCTTCAGGAAGCTGGTAACAACACCGACGCGATCTTCAGGAACGTGAGCAACGCCGTGGCAGGCAGATTGAACAATGCTAGAAAGCAGGCACAGAACGTCATTGACGATTTGAAAGCAAATGTCTCGTCGCTTAGGAACGTGTCCTCCGAGGTCCGCAAGAACGTGACCAACCGATTGAACCAACTCGAGGATAGTCTTGGTGAAGCATGGAGGAACCAGAGTGCAAGATTAGGAAAAGCAATTTCTCAAGCAAGAAACGAAGCCGAAGAACGCTTCCTGCAGATAGCCAAGAACGTAACGAACAGATTGAGAAATGCTTTGAAGAATGCCACGAATATGGGACACAATCTGAACAAGGATGCCGCAACTGCTTTAAATCATACGCTGGATGCGTTGAAAAATGCCAGCAGCAATTCCCAGAAAGTTTTCGATGATGTCTCAAAGGACGTGAACCAAGGCATCGAAGGATTCGAAAATGACGCTCTCAATATCTCAAAAGGTGTGTCGCAAGGTGTAAACTCTACGCTGGACAATATTGGCCAGGTAGCTCGCGAGATCAGGAACCAACTTGGAAACAACTTTAACAATGCTACAGAAAACGGGCTGAATCGTTTGTCGCAGATCGCCAACAATGTTACTCTTGCTTTGAACAACACCAACGCGGCCATACGCCACCAATTCCAAAACGTCAACCACCGAGTGTCCAATGCAACGAGTGGAATAAGTCACACGGTTGGAAATATATTAGGAAACATTACAAACGCAACGGAGCATGTCTTGAACAATGTGAGACACCAAATGGACGACCTTAGGAACAATAGCAACGCTGTCTTCCATAACGTCACACAGGAAATCGAACGTCGAGTACAGAATGCCCGGAGTAACGCTTCTCAAATATTGAACGCCATCAGGAACGCAACGAAAGCATCGTTGGAATCGTTTGTGGACCGTATCAAGAAACTCAACAGCGTAGGTAACGATGTCAAGAACGCCATCGAACAACGAGTAGACAATATCATCGATAATATTTTGAACATTTTGGACAACGTGGGAAGCAGAATCAATAATACGTTAAGCAATGTCGCTAAAGATGCCCGCCAGATCGTCGATGGTATGAGGAACCTCACGCTAGGAGGAGTAAACGATTTTGCCAACAGAACTCAAGCAGCTTACAACAACACAAGGGATATGTTCGATGGTCTCAGGAAGATTGCAGCCAATCAATCAGGCACTACGGTAGATTTGTTGAGGAATAACACTTCCAACGTTGCGAATGTTACCGGCAACATAGTCCACGACATAGCAAACGGCTTGAAACAAAGAGGTCAGCAAGCTTTGCAAGACGCTAAAAAAGCCGCGAGCGACGTATTCGATCCATCTAACCAGAAATCGTTAGTGAATCAAGCAAAGCAGATAGCTGATGATGTCAGACATGACGCCGCTACTCTTACTAATGATGCATCAGATAACAACCGTCACATGATAGACAATATTATAAACGGCGTTGGAGGTGCTCTGGATAACGCAATTAGCATCGGCGACAACGTTGTCAATGATATCGGTAAAGGCATAGGTAATGCTGCAGGAAATTTCGGGCATGCGATATCAAATGGGGTACATGACGCTGGTAATGCCGCCAGCACCATAGGCAAAGGTTTAGCAAACATTGGCAGCTCATTATTCGGTAATTACAATATAATCTTAAATAAAACTACAATTAATGGTACAAAAGTAAACGTACGGCATACTAAATGAAACTTTAACCATTTCTAGGTTGAGGCTAAAACACTGGAAAACGACGACAGGAGGTGAACGCAAGTTATAAACGTTACATCTATGATGGAACTGAACAACAAATTAAGAGTTAAAATTGTTACAAGAATAATTCGATAAAACGATTTTAAATGTAAAAACAAGCTGTACCAGTATTCGGCATTATAACTTTAATTAAAGAACACACAACGAGGAATGCCAAGAATTGGTACAGACTTTGTTTAAATCAAGGAAAAGTGTATACATAAGTAACTGTAAATGCAAATAACTGTTACTTGGTGTACTAATAAAAATCAGTAAATAGGAACTTTGTCTAATTCAATAATATATGCGTAAATCACGGGAACGTCATGTTCGAGCGGGTCTGACGTTTATAAGTCATTCCAGCAGGTAACATCTGTCATTTCCAAATTTCCATCTTCTGTCAATGTTAAAATTTGTTTTCCTGAGCTGTCTTTAAGTTTTATCGCTAGATCTGCATCGGAATTTGATACAGCCATCATTGTGGAATGTACTGGGGTTTCATTGATTTCTATAGGTTGTAAAACGCGTATATATATTGGCTGATTAGTCGCAGAAGGATTGTCTATAATTTAAAAATATTTATACAATAAATAATACTTTCCAATAAAATGCTACTTTGAGCATTGAACTCCTTACCAGAAGTTAAAATATTCTGCATAGGCAAGTTATCTGAATTCGATAATCTTATTATAGGTATAGTTTCATTATGGTTTGGAATGTGTGATTCTGTATATGTTTCAATAGTCATAATTGGTACATTTTGTTCCATTGGTTTTTCCAAAATTGGAATATTCATTATAGTTTGACCAACATCTTTCATAGATGTGTCTGTAAAATGTTTGTAATATGATTATGCAAACAAGCAAACAATTTCAGAGATAAAAAAAGGTGAAGTTTAAAGAACCTGCTTGCTCATCTTGAACTCTATCTTGATTATCTAGATGGTCAGTCAAATTACAATTATGGGATTCTTGCTGACTCCCAAGAAACTGGATACCACACTTGTCGCAGAATATTTTCTGTTTACTGTGGTCTCTAACATGATGTACCATAAATGAGTTACGAGGGGTAGTGTATTGACACTTATCACATTGCAACCAAACATTTTTTTTATGTTTGGATTTTTCAGTAACATGGGACGATAAAATAACATCCCTTTCTTTACCCTGACAGCTAGTTATGGCCTGATTGGTACATTTTGTGATTTGTGGTGGCTGTGAACGTTTTTGCTTTTCATTATTGCCAAGAAGTTCTCCTTTTTCTAAGGAATACTTGAGTTCCAAGAACCGCAGGACATTATCACGCAAGCTATATGCTTCAACTTCTAGTCTATCAAGCGTGTTAATAAGATTGGCACAACTTCGACAAATTATATCATCTTCTGATATTACTACCATATATCTATCATAAAAGAAAGATTGCTATTCCACTTAAAACAATAATATAAAATTCAATGTTTCACCTTCTACAGATAACATGCTATGATATTACCTATCGCCAACTAATTCACCAAGCTTTTCTATTACTCTAGATCTTGATGTTTGGGTTCTACATGTAGCCAATGCATAACGACGTCCCTGAATTTTTGCATCGCAAACAAAACATTGTAAATCCTCCAATGTTCTTGAATCATTACTATTTCCATTATTAGGGACAGTTATATTTGTACAATTGTTAGTGATATCTTTAGGGCAAATGTCATGGTATTGATCTAGCGACAACATTGAAGATGTGTTTGCCATTTGGTTAACAATGAAAATATTTCTTGACAGACATCAAGGTTAGGATACAAAGATGGGAAATTGAAGGTATATTAACTGCAAGAAATTAATATAAAATAAGAAATGTATTTGCAGTTTCTGTTATAAACATACTTCTTCTATATTTAATAATATAATCAGACGATTGGTGTGGTTTCATAATATGACTTACCCAGAGCCCTATTTAAACACGTGGAGGAGCTGTAGCAGTGCTAGAACAGTTAATTTGTTATTTTACCCGACTTTACTGTCACATACAACATAAAAAGAATTACTAATTTATAGTTTGCTATCGTTTAAAAACAATACAGCAGGCCAAACATATCTTTTATTACGAAAATCATTATTTTGGTACCCGTGGCGATATCTATTGGATTAATCCCGAAGCTCGCGCCTGATAACAATAACAGGAATACAGAATGCACGAGCTTTGGGAACAAACCAATAGATGGAGCCACGGGTATCAAAATTTAATTATCTGGCGCTATTTACTTCAAATAAATAATTTTTTAATTTTCGTGATTATTAACTGCAGAACGCTTTCGAATAATGTTGATAATCGTTCGATAGCAATTAAGATTCAATGAAAAATGAACCTTGAATGTTGCTATACTTTAAAGTATAAAGTGCCTAAATTGTCTGCAGAACGTGAATCAACAAGGATCGTTGAAATTTACTTTTTGTTTTATTACAAAGCTGAGTACAAAATGATCACAAAGATTATTTAAGTTACAATTCTATTACAAATCCGACGCATCGTTGTCGTGAAAGCTAAATAAATGGCAGTGATAGTATGATCGTTTTTTGTAACAAATTTTCCTACATAAATATTACATCTACGGGCAATGCCCAAAATATTTGATACTCTTTCCCTTCGTTACAACTGTATTAAAAATTTAATGCACCGTTGCTGATTGGAATCGCTGTTCTGCAACGTAATCTCAAACGATTCTCCAATTCCATCACTCGATTTGTTAAGTGCTGCATTTTCCTCGTCTCCAACTCATACTCCCTCAGTTTTCCTCGCATTTCATATATTTCCTGTTGCATGTGTTGCTAAAAACAATAACGTTTTAGAATCAGTAATGTAAATTATGTATTCCACTTACTATTACAGGAAAACTGTATCGTAATTACAGGAAATTATGTATCGAGTACTTACGACATTTTCAACAGTCCTCTTCATCACATTGATACTTTCCATAACCGATGCAACCTTGTTACTCATTTCTGTGGTCTCCGTGTCTCTCTTTCTTCCTCTTGCGAATTGCTAAAAAAAGAAAATTATATATTCCCGTTGCTATTTAATTATGCAGATATTTTATTAGCATAAATATTTAATTCGACTCGTACATATGTCGAACAATTGTTTTTAATTAATTTAGTTCCGTTTACTTTCTTTACATACGACTTCTTAATTATTTTAAACAGGGCAGCAATTTGTCCAGGATAACTAGCTAACAGATTAAAAATTTGAAATAAAGCAGGAGAAAAGTTTATAATTCTCTAGTACTCGCATTTCTAGCAGCATGCGAATCAAACATATCTCTTCTTTACGACTTACAAGTCAAACAACATGCGACGTACCTTTTCGAGCTTGGTGAGCCTTTTCAGAATAATCTCGTAGTCCTGATCGAGGTCACCATCGGACACCTCGTTCTCCGTATCTGCAAACAGAATTCTTTGATTTCAACCTGTACCAATTTAACGTGCACGATTTTAATGTGTACGAACCGTGCGAAGAAATTGACGGACGTCTCGTAGTCGTCGTCGTCGACTCGTGGAAATCTTTCTCCAAATCTCGAGCTTCAAAAGCAGTGTCGTCCGTGTCTAGAAAAAAAATAAAATTTAACTCTTTCAGAATGTTATTATTAAAAAAGACATTGGAGTCGTTCTTCATTTCATAAAATGATTTAAAAGATAAATTTGGACAATTCACCATTTTTTCTGCACGACTGACGATCTTTCTGAAGTTGAAAACCGGGCCTGCAGTGGCATTCGTAGGTCCCGGGTAGGTTTCTGCATAGCTGATCGCAGGGCTTCTCTGTCACGCACTCGTCGACGTCTGTAACGTTGGTGGACAAGTTATGTTAATTTCGTTAAAAACGAATCGCGTAAACGCGACAGCTGCCGGCCGCGGCGACTGATCCGTCGTGAAATCTGTCGGTTTCCGGTCGAAGGCGTTGCGAAAATTCTCAACGGATTGGCTTCCGTTTAATTTGACAAGGTACGTTCGAGGATTCGAATGAATAAATTATGGAAATTTAAATTAGTTATCAAGTCGGTGCCTGATCGAGAATAAGCACGAAAGTGGGAGGATAACTGCTACCATTTCAAGTAACTGGTTCCTTGATTAATACGAGAAAATGTATGGGATACAGGGGAAATTGAGAAACTTGTTTCTATTTTGATATTAGACGCTTGTTGCAAATAATTGTTGTATGGTTACTCGGGATGTATTAATTCGCGTAGGGGTAACTTTAGTAGTTTTTCGTTTATTCGTGTTAAGGGATCTAGGACGCACATAACACATAAGGGATCCACACATTTTGCGTGCTCAATTAAAAAAAAAAAAAAACATTCACTCGTACCACTTTTGTAACGAACATCACGATTCGGCCTTTTTCGCTGATAACTCATTTCTACACCACGAACTTTAATAACTCTCTGTTAGCGCAAGTTACCCGTGACAATCCCTTGATTATCATAGATGATGTTATTATCCGTGAACGAACTGGTTCCCTCGTAGCTGACAATCGTAAAGTTAATTCCCGAGAGAGTGTCGAAACTTCTCGTACGAAGGGATTTTTCCGTCCGGCCGAAACCGGCACGCCGACACAGCTCGCCCTTGGTCTCGTAATTAGAACGTCCGTATAGCATAATGAAATCGCTCGTAAATCTATCGAAAGCAGTCCGTTGCTGGACACCACAATACGCCTAGTTGACTCGGTATTCGCGCAATGTTATCGGGGCCGCGAATCGGTCTGAGTCGATTTAATTACGTCTAACGATCCCGACCACGAGGACGTTAGGCTCCTAACCCGGAATATCGATCGAGGATATTTTACGATTTAACAGCATGCTGGCTCGTCATTTGCATCAATTTCCCGAACCTCGCTCGACTTCTTTTAGATCTGTTTGAATACTAGATTAGGTCACTTTCAGAGGCTTAGTACAGCGATTAGATTCTGTGAAGGATATCGAAGAAATTCATTGGCGAGAAGACTTAGCTTGGAATTTCTATTAGAATACACTAAAAGTGCAAAGAGCATTTGTGTAAGAAAGTAAGATGTAAATAAATACTATAGAATAGAATGAAATTTTGTTTTTTGCCAGAAATTTGTCCCTGAATGTCTGAAGATTCATATATGCTTAATTAATACAACAATAAATGACATGAAATGACTCTTACGATTAGTGCAAAGGGTTAAATGCTCACACTTCAATAAATTGCAGATACGAGAACATTTGGCGTGCCTTTAATTATATTGTGCTCGTATCGAACACGTTTTTTATAATACTCCAGCATTCCCTACCAACCTAGAATACATTATCGATTTCAGGTGACCCCACACAAAAAAAAAAATCGTGGAGATTTAAACCAGGCGATGGAGACGGCCATGCAAGCCCCGCCGCGACCTACCTCGTTATTTCTTATTGGATATTACGTTCTTTCTCATGCCAACATCTAAGCAGGGTAAAATTTAAATCAGCTATACTTCTTTTCGTAAAAGTAACATCCTCTTGATCTTTATGAGACCGTGTAGGATTACAGGAGACTGAAAACGAGTGATGCTTATCTTTTTAGGTTCTTTTACAATGTTAACATTTCTTTTAGTATTCGTTTTATTTTTTGTATCGAGTTAAATAAATTGTTGTGAAAAGCATCATCGTGCAATCACAGAATCATTTTGTTCGATTAAAAAAACGAACTTCCGAAGCTTCGTAATATTAATAATTAAATTTGGAATAATTAAATACCTTATCACAGTAGTATCGATACGTAAACGTGCGGAGAGATTGAATTTCGAAAACATAACAATTGTATTATTGAATTTAATTGTGATTTAGAAGTAACAGTATTCAGTAAATAAACCCATGGAAATATATTTCTATAAAAGTACCATGCCAATCCGAAAAGGGACATTTTGCAGATGTTTCTCGTTAAGTTCAAGGTGTAGACTACGCTTATCAATTTTATGACACTGATAACTCACTTATCGTCGCGTCTAACGAAGACTGGCAATAGAAGCCTGAAATTTGGCAACGGGATATGTAGAGAACGAACTATGGGTGTGTCTATTTCAACGTTGTATCCAGTATCGGCGATTAGCATTGGAAATGATAATTTAGGATCGATTTGCATTCACGGTCGACATTACCTGTCTGGCACTGGCTGCCTGTAAATCCTTTGGGACACGTGCACCTGCCGGGGGAAGTGCATATTCCTCCGTTCAGGCAGGGAGCTGGACAGATAGCTGAAAGCCAATTAAGGCAAGTTATAGTTTAAGCATCGCATACCGTTAACAGCCAATAAATATTTCACGTGCTGCGCAATGAAATTGTAGAATTCATTCAACTCCTATTTACGATATCACCTGTGAGTATTTTATGGTTGCGATTACTATTCCTACACTGGTTCAAGTACGAATTCGAATTAGAGCTATAAACTTCTTTCCTTTTCGACTTACATATCTAGTCGTAATCTTTTCATTTGATTGCTCGAGACGTGGTTTAAACGACGATTGTGCAAGGATAGTTAGACATTCTAACGCGTTTAAAATTAATTTAAATCGTTTGCTCGTTCAATGGATTTCAGAGAAGTTGTCTTCTAGTTGATCTAAGACGAAACGTCGTAATTTTAGTCTACTCGAGTGAACAACAATTTTTAATAGTTAGTAATTGTTTGACTGTCCGTTGAATGTTGGAACTCACGTTTATTGCAGCCATAACTCGTCTGTGTCGCTTGCGTCCATCCTGGGCAGCATAAGAAACCGGAAGACGCGTCGGTCTTAATGTTAAAGATATTAAGGTACCTAGAAGGAACTCTTTTATGTACTAATTGAAACCATAAACTGGTATCTGCTCCAATAGGAACACGGAGAGTAGTTTTACCTAATTTGCCCATTTCGATGATGGTGAACAGTAGCGCTAGGGACTGACCTGGTGCAAACTCGTCTCCTGGAAAATTAGACAAGAATGTTTCATATTAGACTAAAATAAATGCGATGTATATATTTTAAAGTTTAGTTTAGTTTCTCAAAGTATAAGTAAGCTTTATTAAAATGTTTTCGATGACCAGGTTTAGGGCCTTCTTTTTAACCCTTAGAAGCCTGATTTTCCAAATTAAATTTAACAAAATATCAATGTATTTATTATTTGAACAATTTTGACAATTTTGTTGAAAAGAACATATATACAGGCAAACATTAAAAACGAACCAATTGTAAGTGCACAATTCGATTCAAAAGTCTTGCATAACATTTGAAACTTAGGGCATTTAAGAGTTAATATTTTGAACAACACGAAGCTATCTAACTCGATCCATCCTGACTCCATTCAACCGCAGCCCAGCTAAACGTTGACAAACTCGAAAAGTGACGTCGCTTAATATTCTGTTCTAGAATCGCCCTCGTTGGAATAGCTTCTTTCTCCGTAGCAGGATCTGTCTGAGAGATCATGCAAACAGGAGAGGACGCGGCGGTGAACGTGCACGGACGCGTGCAGAGATCGGTACAGTAATTGGGCGTCGAGAGGCGATCTCGCGCAGCATAAACCACTTCGTCATCGTCGGCCCGCGAGAAAATTGCATCTCGCCGTGTCGCTGTCATGTTCGTTGAAACGCGACACGACGTTTACTGTCGCAACAACGGCCTAGAACCCACGTGGCTCGCATCGCGAGACGTCGGCTTTCCTTGCTCGCGAGCCATTTCGTATAGCTGCGAGAGGTGCCAGGAACTCGCGACGTAGAACGAACAAAGGAGCCGGTCCTGAGCCGATTAAACCTGCCCCGCAGCTAGCAGTTGCGCAATTAAAACGCCACCCTCCGACCAGCTGCTGGCATACATCACCGTTCGTCGTCCATTTTCACTCCGCGCGAATCTCTTCAGTGGACGTAATCTCTGCGTGGCGAATGGTAACCGTGCTCCGTGGAATGTTGGGCATTCTAGACGCCGCAGGCTGCTGTTCGTTAGCGAGGGATGGTAGAGGAGAGGGTGGCTTTGGAGATTTCAGAAATTCTAGTTTGTGGTTGTTCAGGAAAAATGGTGGTAAAGCAGAGGGTGGCTGTGAAAATGTTTGAAATTCTGATTTGTGGTTGTTCAGGAAACCTGGTTTGCAGTAAGAAATGCGTTGAATTCTTCAATAAATCATCTGGCCGGTGCTGGTTAGCGAGGGATGGTAGAGGAAAGGGTGGTTGTGAACATATTGGAAATTCTGGTTTGTGGTTGTTCAGGAAAAATGGTGGTAAAGCAGAGGGTGGCTTTGAAAATGTTGGAAATTCTGGTTTGTGGTTCTTCAGGAAACCTGGTTTGCAGTAAAAAATGCGTTGAATTCTTCAATAAATCATCTGGCCGGTGTTGGTTAGCGAGGGATGGTAGAGGAAAGGGTGCCTTTGGAGATTTCAGAAATTCTAGTTTGTGGTTCTTCAGGAAAAATGGTGGTAAAGCAGAGGGTGGGTGTAAAATATTGGAAATTCTGGTTTGTGGTTGTTCAGGAAACCTGGTTTGCAGTAAGAAATGCGTTGAATTCTTCAATAAATCATCTGCATCACATGGAGAAATGGAAAATTCGTTCTTGGCACTGACAATTTTCTTGATTGTATGTAAATGAAAATGTTTCAAAACATACGAGAAAGGAAAACACTGTGAAATACATAAAGAAATTTTCTTTTTTTTTTGCAATGCAAATGCTTGATGTAGTTTTACACGAGGTATAACACAGATGTGCTTGATAGAACGTGTATGTAAAGAAAAGAGAATTTAATTGTATTTGATATGTATCATAACAAGTCTTTCTTTATTTCAAATAGCAGAAATTGCCTTGCTTCTGTGAAACGCATTCTCTACGTCGATATTTACATTTAAATAAATAATATTCCTCAATATATTCACGGTATTGAATTTCCTTGTGGACATTAATATTTGACAACGCAGGTCATATTCGATGCTTAGACTAGGAATCTTATGCATTCATGGCTTAATAAATCTATAGAAAATAGATCTAATCATGCCAAGTAAAATATTACTATCGTATGTATATTAACTTATGCAGTATTTGAGTAATTCAAGTGTTCCGTTCTAACAAGAGCGAGTCTTAATGATAAGCAAAGAGGAGTCGCAAAGGGGAAGTAAATCTGTACCCTGCGAGATTCCCACGTTTCTCAGACCCGACGAGTGTATTACAATAAAATGAAGGCTTTAAACGACGTCAAGAGTGTTCGCAAAATCTGTCTGTTAAGGGCGAGCTAGGTGTTTGTCTATGGATTATCCGTGGCAGAAGGGATCAAAGGGATTATAACGTGGCAGGTGATTCAGGTTAGTGAATCGTGTAAGTTCTGCCAGACGAGATGTGTGTCTGGCATCCGCCTCATTCCCCTTGAGCCTGTTTCACGGGGGCACAGCTGGCCTTACCCTCCGCCATGATTCTGCAAATTGTTTCTGCCTCGGCTAGAACTTCTGTTACCTGAACGGGCACGCGCCGATACGTAGGTATACCCTCGATTACGACGGAAATACTGGATGATGGTCTCTTAAACTTTTACGGGCCTTTTATGTCGTCTAGGAAATAGAATAGCCTGATGTTCTATGTATGCAATTACAGAAATTTCTGTCTGTATCATTTTTACAAGGTTTTATTAGACATCTATAAAAGAGGACTATTAAATAGCTCGTAGTAATTGAGTAACAGTAATTTTTAAATATTTTTATGGAATTAACGTATGGACGCTGTTGTTAATAAAATTAATATTTTTTTCCTTCAAATGTTTTAAGACGCGAGAATTTCATGTGATTGAAGAGGATCTAGATTAATTTTAAAATTGGTTTTGATGGATTTATTGCTTCTCTTACTTATCAATGGTAATGAGTTAGCATATTATTTTGTTGTAATTAAACCTTGAAGTAAATAGTTCAAATAATAATAATATATAGTTTTCTATTTATACATATTGTATATAAATGTGTTAACTCATGTATTGATAACTATAACCATTTAAATGACTTAGTAAATAAAGAGTTCCTCTACCTATACATTAATTTAATTTCAGACCATTATATTACCACTAATCAGTACGTTTTGCAGCCAGCATTCGAACGTGGCGCCTAGCACGTGTTTCAGATCGATCAAACTGGTAAAAATGTTGAATGTTTTCTTAAACTTTCGCTCTCACGGTCCACATGCGTCAAATCGTTCCTGGAGCGTATTCATCCCGCAGAAAAATCTCGCGAAACACGTTGCGACGGAGTTTCAGATACGGTTCGGAGGACATTCGCGTGGGAATACTGGTTCGGGTGCTCTGGTGGCCATACTGAACTCTACACGCTGATAACGTCCAACATGGTCGAGCCACGACATTGAACGAGAAAGCCGAGGTAGTTGGATGTACTTTCGTGAACAATTTCAGAAAATAACAGCCAACAAACGTTCGATCCTTAGATCGTGTTTCTGTCTCTTTAACGAACCACCAATTGGCGTAACTTACTCGAAGGAATACTTAGAAGTAACTTATTCGAAGTTCCTCTCTTCGCTTGCTGGAACCTTGTTTAAAAAGCGAACTTCGCGAGTAAGAAATATTAGAAATCGTGAAGTCATCCGTAGTTCTTTTCCATTATTTAAGGTAAAGGAAACAGTAGGTGACGCGTAAGGAGAAAATAGAATATTTCAATGTACATTCGAGAAGTAAATTGTTAAGAAGTAAATATTTTTAAATTATAGAAGATGGAGCTTAAGTATTTTCCCAGGCGCATCGGACCCCAATATTTCAATGTACTGCGTGCCTACAGCCAAAACCTCGCAAGATTCAACCAAACTACAACTACGTTTCACTGTCGGTCGTGTACTATCTAAGCGAGAGTAACGATTGCTCGGTACCTACGCGTTCTAGGAACTTTCTCCGTGAAGAAGCCAGCGCAGAAAAACTTGAAGATATACGAAGAAGTCGCCGGTAATAAAATCAACGTCGATTAGCGATGTGGAGCGGTCGAGAGCGCCGTCGCGTGATACCGCTCGCGCAAGCTTCCCGTAAGTGATAAATATCCAATGAACTACCGCATCGACTGCTCGCGTGTCTGCGACTCTCTGAAAGGTACTTCCGAAACCTTAACGGTGATCTCGCATGTTTTCCACTTCTAACCTCGGCCGAGGCGAACGCAGCGAGTTATCGTGGCCATTCGTTACACCCTTGCCTTTGACTATCTGTTGCTCGGCGAGATTTCCTCGCCCATGGGTTACTCGGACCGAACTCTCTTTCTTTGGGTCATGGATGGTCGAAATAGGCCTTAGAGTTCGGAGAAAGGATACTTGGGCTTTTAGATAGATACTATCGTGTCGCTGAAGGATTTCTGGGCGGTCAAGTTTTCTCAATGTAGCTTTAATCGAACTCTTTAGTAATTGTAAGATATTTGGACGCTAGTGCTCTTCGTTCAATTTTATTAGAATTACAGTCAAGCAGGAATGTAGTACGAGCCTTTATAAATTATATGTTAATACTTTACCTTTCTCAAAAAAAAAAGTACTCTGTTACTCTACCTTCGTAGGTTTACTTTGAATTCTTAAGAAAAGTCTAAAAAGTAATTAATTAAGGGAAAGTATTCTACTATTCTGTTTCCCTATTTTCGCAGCTTTCTTTCCAGGCTTCTTTCCGAGACCAAGCACGTTATTCTCGAGTGGTCAGCGAACGGGAACCCGGAACCGTTCGATATATCAATTTTATTAGAATAACAGAGAAATCGGAATAACACTCGTCGTGCTTTACTCGTAGGAAGGTCTATATATCCCGCGGACATTGGTATCAATTAGTCCCGTTTGCTCGATGGATTTATAACGTAATCATAAATATTCAACTTCGCTCTCGTTCGTAACACTCGTAAGGATCGTACGCGGGCACGGGCACGAGTTTTCAGTTGAAGAAGCCGTATATTATCACCGCGTGGCGGTAAACCGTCGTTGCGCGATGTTTCGAT